TATGAGGATTTAAAGAAATACGATGTTATAGGTTGATCATCACTACAGATCCTCCATACATGCTCTATATGCTCTTAACAAATATGCGCATATCATTTCACTCCCATATAAGATGATCTTGGTAATATGCATCGTTGCACTCAATTCCTGATATAAATATGCCCTTTGTTAAGAAAAATTTCCAAGAAATAACACTTAATAACATTGAAAATGATTGATTTTCGCTATATTGCCTCTATTTTATTTCTAGTATTGTTTGGTGGTGTACTTCTCAGTTTTTTGACCGTAGATTTTTCAAAGTTTCCACCACCAACTAATGCTACTTTAACTGGTTTTCAAACATGGCATACTGAAATTAAAGGTATATAAATTCTTAAATTTAATTGTATTTTAGCTATAGTGACTAGACTCATTCAATTCGCAACTCTTGAATTAAACTCAGAGGAATGCTCGAATCAAATGATTGAATAACTTTATTCAAATTTATTCGAGTTGATTGAATAATGTTAATTCGTGAGTAACTCAGAGTTAAATTTTCATAAGTTGAATCAAGTTATTCAAATGACGAGTTGATAGTCCAGTTACTATTAGATTGTACTAGATGAGTATTAATAATTTTTAAATAACTTTGATTTTCTTAGATTTTAATATAGAAACATGGTATTCGATGATCAGTTTCACTGCTACCATACAATTAGTTACCGGAGTTTTTATGCTCATATGGTCTTTTAAATATGTGACACTTAATGTCTTTAAATTTAATGACGGGAAAATTTCAACAACTTTTTTTAATAAATTGCTCGCAGGTTATAGTATCGTAACTGCTATAGTTGCAATTGCACTGATAATATTTGATCTTGGAAAACTTTGGACATCGCTTGGCGTAATACATAATTATTTTGAAGTTATTATTATAATACTTTTACAGCAAGGAGGAAACCTTGCTGCAAATAATAATATTCATTTATATAGTATTATTTACTTATTAATGGCCGAAGGTATAACTATTTTACTTCAATGGCCTTATGATGCTATTTGGTTTAAATTTCAAGGTTAAAATAAATTTTATTTTTTTTGTTTGATATCATTTGGTCATTAATGCATTAACTAATACTTGATCCATATTTGCAGGCCTTTCTGTTGATTGGTTTTTTTTAATACAATTTATAAGACTATACCTTGCAACAAAACGGCATTACAGAGAAGATTACATTAGGTTACCCCTTCATACCTCTGATAATGAAATTGAATCAGAAGAACACGATTCATCAAACGATAAAAAAGATTTTCATCTTAAACATGTGTTTTTATTACCTTTCGCAGCATTTTGCCATATAGCGGGAAATGTATTAAATTCTATCTTTTTGACTGAGGCACTTGCGTATGTTGATCTTTATTACATTTTTATTTTTAATTTTATTATTCTTGATAAAATATCTTATTAACTTATACATTTTTTTAATCAATCATTATTATAGGTATTATTTATTTAGCTTTAGCTACGGTTTTACATTTACTTCTCTTGCTTTTTTTGTATATTTAGATACTCACTTGAAACCCAATAAACCAAAGAAGCATATTTTCATACCTGATCCCTCTACCCCAAATATTATTTTAGTTACAATTATTTCTGTAACTCTTTCAATTTTATGTTATAGGCTTGGTGCAGTTGATTTAGAACACAGCTAAGCACAAAAGTTGTTCGCTTTTAATAATTAGAAACTCTTTTGACTCCTAATATTATTCTATATATTAAACATATAATATTTAAAAAAGGTGTTTTAGGTACATTCGCTTTGAATATTTATTATACCTCATTTTAATATCGTTTATAAATAATATATTTTTTAAAATTTTTAAAAACTAAAAAAAAAAAAAAAAAACAATATTTTTCATAAAAGACCTCTAATGAATTTTTGTTTAAATAAATGGTTCAATATACAAAAGTTCGACAAGTCATTACTGAAGAGACAGTTCGCTTTACCGAATATTGGGTCATGTTAAGGTTCGGACCGAACCGAACCGAACCAAACTCTAACCATTTTTTAAGCCCCAGTCCGATGACAAAAATTTAGCAAATTATAATTATTTTTTATATTTTTATTTTCACTTAATAAATGTTCCTTATACCCTCCAGAGATGGAGTGACGCCAATGGGATATACAGTGAAACCTTCTTTGGACCAAATTTAACAAACATTTGAAAAAAACGTATTTATAGAGGTCCGATATATGTTTTCATTTGCACTTATAGACGGCGCAATTATAGAAGCATTGTTAATAATTTGATTTTTTCCTAACAATAAACAATTACCTTCTAGATTAGAGTTGAATCTACGAAAAAATCTAACTTAAAAAACAAACCGCATATAGGATGAAGTGAGGTAATTTAGCAAGCGGGTAAAGTGTGGATCAAATTATATTAAATAATACTTGGTCTATTAATTGAAATCTAATGATTGTTATAGCATTCAATTCGTCTCATCAAGATGAATCAAATGGTATAAAAACATTTGATTCTGATCATCGGATTGCAAGATAATGTACAAAATGCCTTAGAATGTAGAGCAAGTGATACTGCGGCTGATTATATTTGCATGAATTATTGCTCTGATTTTATTGAGTTTTTATTATATTTTATTTAGTGATACGTATCATATTCACTTGTTTCCAGTCAATTCACCAACAATTTTTTCACAGACAACTTAGAATTAAATTACAGCCAACATTATTTAACTGACGAACAATTCATAGACAAGATCATTTCAGAAGTTTATTCACAACAGCTCATTTCACAGACAAAGTGATCCTAGTCATTGTATGTCTATTCGTATTTTTATTTAATTTTTTTTTTTTACCCTGTCTCAACCTCTGAATTACATACTATAACTCTTATGCGTAATCTAAATCACCCTCTTGTCAGTTAAAAAATAAGTAGCAATATATGATATAACGATATTAAGTATATTTATAATTGATAATAAAATAGAAGCATATGAAATGAAATTATTGATAGAGCAAAATAATAGATGTAGAGAAATATGAGAAATTAAATCAACACAATAATTTAATTCCACAAGAATAATTAATTCCACAAGAATAATTTAATTCCGCAAGAATAATTTAATTCCACAAGAATAATTTAATTCCACAAGAATAATGAATTAAATCTTCTAATTAAGATTATTAAAGGAAAAAGATCTGAATGTACTTATGCTTCAGAATTTTATATTAGAAGCTAATAGATGGTTGGATAAAGATCGTGATAAACGACCAACTGCTACCATAATTGTTAACAAGGTGGGCCATTGGTTAGACGAAATGAATTATGATAATAACGAGATTAAGAACAAATTGTTAGAAATCGATGAAAGTCAATCCAGAGAATTATTAAATTGATAATGTGAAATGTAATTCGCAAATCTAATATACTATATTATAATTTTAGCAGCATCGATTTATGATTCTACAGATTAATGCAGTCATTCCTGAAATTATTTAACTATAAATTTTGGCTTATGCAGGCAAATAGTTATTTCACTATGCCATATAGATTCCTATTCCCAAATCTTATTATACTTCTATATTATTTTTTAAAATTAAAGTTACGTATTCTATGAAGTCTAGCTTTATTACAATCATAAGACATCTTTCTTTTATTTTTTATTTTTGCTATTTTCTTAGGCATGTAACTCTTTAACTTTTACTTTTTTGTAGCAACTCTAAAAAATTCGTTGTGTCATTAAAATTAAAAAAAAATAAATATGTATAATTAAAAAGATATAAATTCAGAATTAGTTCGGATCTAATAACTGGGCAAAAAAGTGCGAAACATAATATAGAAATATAAATAAAAATTAGGAACAAATTTAAATTTTCTTCGTTAATGTTAATTTATAATTAAATTAGATTTTAGGCATTTTGGGAGCTATTTTACTTATTATTAATCATGGCATTATTTTGACTTTTTATTAATTTTATAAAATATAAAAATAAAACCGAATACACAATGGCAAAGCAAACTATTATTGCGATTAGCTGTAACGATTTTCTGTTACGATAATGACAAGAATGAATTCTTTGCCACGAATACGAATTCGCAGATATTGTGAAATAAAAAATTAGAAAAATACAGTGAAACCTCGTTAAAAGTACCCTCAATATGTAAAATATCTGGTCCCAGATTATAATAGCACTATATATTTTGCTTTCTATAAATACACACACTCTTCAAGTGCATAATTTTGAAATTTTTTACTATGGTACGAAGGGAGTTGTGCATTTTTGGAGGTCTTTTAGTACTTTTTTCTCTATGAGAAGTTAAAGTAATTTGGTAATAGTTGAGGTAAATCGAAAATTAGATGAGAGGGTAATCTTTCTATTTAGTTTGTAACCTATTTAACTATGCGATTTTGACTTATTTTTTCTTATTTTTTGACTGTATTTTTTATATAATTTCGTCAATACATTTATAGCTTATAAACAATAGTTTAGATAGTACATTATTCGTGACATTTATTAATAAAAACATATGAAAATGCGAAAAAGATTTGTGTTTATTGATAGAATAAATAAAATTATTGATTTTATAGAAGATTATAAAGATATCAAAGGTGATGTGTCTTAATATTTATCTGTAATTTTAAATACCAATATTAATGTTATACATATTAGGGTGATTCAAAGTTAACTTATTTCAAAAAGCAAATAGGGGTTTAAAATGTCCTATTTCTATTTTGAAATCAGAAAATGAAATAGGTGATATTCGGAGATGAAATGAGTAGTATTTTTTTGGTTTGATAAAATATTATTATTGTAAGATGTAATCATGATAAACTACGAATTAAAGAATTACAAGCCATCAAAATCATCGCTTAAAATTCTTAAAGTAATATTAATTATTAATATTTCATAAAAAAATATGCCTCCCAAAAGAACTTTTAAACAAACCACTAAAGAGCAAAAGTTTGTGACGGTTATGTTTATGGAAAATTCCGAAAATCAGGACATTATTGATGGAAGAGCAGCAATTGGTGCGCCTGTAAGTGGCAACCCTTTAACAAAAAATGCAGGCTTTGCACAAATGGTTCTATTTGTGAATAAACGCTGTAAGAATAGTGATTGGAGTGCTAAAATAGCAAGTGGTCGATGGTCAACTTATAAAAAAAAAACATATATGGAAACCCGTAAATTGATTGTTTGCAATAGTTCCAACAACTCATTGATTTTTTTTTCAAGAATATCAATTGAATTTTTATGAGTACTATTGGAATATTCTTCTATCAATACTTCTAAAATATTATTTATGTCTTTAATATGTAATTATTTATCAGACAAATGAGGCATTTTTAAAATATATATATGAAAGATATAAAGTTCGAAGAAAATTCACGATCATAAAAAGTATTAATTATTATTATTACTGTATTATATAATTAAGCTTACCAATCAGAATAAATAAAATTTACGAATCACTGATTTCAAAATAATTACATCACTGATTTAATTCGAGGATTGAATCACCCTATTATATTTTACAAGTTTCTAAATTAGATTATCTAGAAAATTTCATAATTTAGGCAAAATATATCAATAGTAGTCAAAAATTTTATGAATTAATATGCAGCGCGCAACAAGCATCGAGCACTGAACACAGTCAATTTAAATCCATGTATAATACTGATATATTCCACAACAGGTAGTCAAAGTGAAGTAATATAGCAGTATTAAATTTGTTTTGTCAGATGAACTTTCAAAAAAAGTTCTACCAATTCATCCTATTGTTTTAAACAAAATGAATAAAGCTATTCAATCCTCAATACAGGATATTAATAAAAAATTCGGGAAAAAAAGATGTTTTTTGAAAGATAAGATATATTGTAAAATAAAGTAATAAAAAAAGCATATAAATAAATATACAGTCAAACCTCTCTACACACTTGGGATACAAAACAGCGTGATAGTAAAGAAATGTGACAATTATAGAGGTCAAATTTATTATATTTAATAATAGATTGTTTTTAAAAAAATGTGCTTATAAAGAAAATGTGCTTATATAGGAGGTGACTATAGAGAGGTTGACTGTACATAAAAATAAATAATTTATACTGTAAATCATATTAATATAAAAGCAAACAATTAACTTATTCAAGCAAAACTAGCGTATTTTCTACACAAACAAAAAAAAGGTACTATGTATGAGATGACACGTATGTATGAATAAATATTTTTCAAATTTTTTTTTTAAACCGTATAAATAAATTTTCTCCAATAGTGAAGTATCGTGCATTACTTTTAAAGAATTTACGAAGCAGAATAAGCTGAAATTACTCGTTAAGAATTCAGTTACTCCAAGTTACTATAGAGTAACTAACCATCTAAGAGGATATCAGCACGCCACTATAAACGCCAGTTTTAGAATTAATTAGATATTTAAATTTTATGCATAGTATCTAACCATGATTACATACCTTTGTTGTGTTGACATTCTTGTCTCCAAAACATGTGACCTCTTGATATTCATTGTTTAACATATAATTATGGCTATTTAACCCCAGTTTAGTCACATAATGCGAAAGAAAAATATCATGACATTCATTCCAAGGCTCTTGGTTAGGAACTATGCCACGTAAATAATGTTGTACGATCCAGTTATCATTTTTGTCATCAAAAGTCATACACGTAACTATTGCGGAGAGAGGCATTTTAGGGTTATCATATCATCAATCTTTAAATGTCATTAACAAATAAAAATTTGATTACCTTCCTGTTGAAAAGATATTGGGGATTTAAATTCTGAATGTGAGTGTAATTTTTGCCCAGTCCCATTATTTATAAGTGTTATTGTGTCACCATAATATACTGGTGAACCTTTATCCTTATTGCCACCGTATGTTGGAGAAAATCCATTTTGAAGAACTTCCGGCATTATAGTCCACGATTCGTAATCTGTGGCACGACGGTCTACTGCAAATGCCTTAAAAAAAATAAAATTGCATATATCATGCGTACAAAGTACTGTAAATATAATACAGTATATATTTAAAATTAATACAAACCCAATATTGTTTTGATCCTCCTGTATATCTTTCAAATGTGCTTGATAATAGCTTTCCAGTATTATTATGACGTAAAGTGATTACTGACCCATATTTAACTACTCGTTTATATTGAAGTAGAAAATTTTGAAGGTTTATAAAAACCTCATTAATATTTTTGGATTCAGTAATTTTTAGACTAAAAGTGTCCGCAAATAATTTAAAAGGTAAAATTTTTAAGATGGATTGTTTTTGTAGCTTGAGATCAAAAATTTCAGCATCAAATAGCAATTGTCGCAGTTCAATGATAAAGTCTTGTGCATCAGTTAAATACGTAAATTTTAAAGCTAAAAATTTTTTTCCTGAATTGATTTTGAAAAGTTTAAATGAAGGATCTGCTTTAAGGAATTCAATAAGTTGCGAGAAACTTGAAATTTTACTATTTTCATCACTATATATTGTACGACTAATTTTTAAGAGTGCAATATTAACTAATTCAGATTCAGATTCCTTTCCGAGAAAGGCTGCAATAAATTTAAAATCACGAAGCCAATCGTCTGGATGACAAGAACCATTGTATTTTGGGAAAGATAAGAAACTCATTATGAATAACTAGTTGATATAAGATTAAAATATCAATTTTAGTATGTTTATAATGTTATGGCGCAAATAAATACGTGTAAGCGAGCGCTGCCAGAGAAAATTGATTAGATCAAGCTTACAACTTAACAAGCTCGCCTGAAAAAATTCGATTAACAACAATGAAGTGCCATGTATGTAATTAATTTGACGCTTAAAACATTGTGTTAAAAGCTTTTGATCTTATTTTAGGTTAGTAGGTCTGATTTGGGATGATTTGCATTCTAAATTTGGCATAATTAAGTTACGCGGGAAACTGAGCCGCTTGTGAACGAAGTCACAAGGCGGTACATTATTGTGAGTCACTGGACCTTCCCGTGACAAGGGTCACGGG